CGATTTGCTAATCGCAAAGCCTGCGATGTGGACGCGATATTACTCTGTTCCAGAGCATATGCATGACTGCCAGCCTTGAGTTGCAGTCTTACTTGCCCTGGGCAAGAGTGAGCGCACCTCCGTTCTCCCCAATCAGCACTGCTCTAGCCAACTGCGTAAACAACCACCATTAAAAAAAACAAAAACAAAAAAAAACGGAACGCGGGACGGGGGACGGGAGAGAGACAGAGTGGGATTATGGCGTCTACTGGGTCAGATCGATAGTTAGGCAAATTAAAACTAAAGAAAACCGTATGCAACTTAAGCTTCGAAATGACAGACAACGAACAAAAAATGTAATTTGCAGGGTAATGATACCCATACTGTGCTGCACATTATTGACAATATTGAGCTGAAGCTTGACTTTGCAAATTCAAAATTGCAAATCAAATCGCAATCGCAATATCTGTCAAAAAAATCGCAATTTGATATTTTCCCCCAAATCGCACAGCCCTAGCCACTAGTAGCACAAAAATGACACACCATACGGAATAACTGTTTAGATATTTCTAGAAAAGGCCTGTGTAAACAATAACAATACAATAACTTAAAGACTTAAAGTTCTTGTCTGTCAACAATAAAGTGGGAAAGCATGCATACTGTACTGTAATGACGCTAGTATATTCAGTTTAGATGTGGATTATTTGAAAAAGTGACAATAAAAACCTGTCTATGGCATGTTAAAGGACCCGTTTGGAGACGTGATCAAGAAGATAATGGATGAAATCCACGAGCAAGCTGACCTGAAGCCCCTCTGTGAGCCCGGCACACAAAATTACGAACAGTGGGTCGTACAGAAAGAGCAGAACGGTGAGTTTACTGCCTTTTACAAAGACATTCAGATATATGGAGGTTTACTAGGTCATTAAAAACCTGGAAATATCAGGAAAACGTCAAAGAAATTATTACAGTTTTAAAGGCGTCAATTAAATTTCCATAAATACAAATTCCTGGTGGTACCACAAAAACACACAGGTTCAAACCTTCATTTATGAGCTGTAACGTTACACAGTTTTCCTAACCAGCCACACCACTCAATTTTTCTAGTTTGCTCTTCTTTATAGATTTAAATAACTAGATGCTGTGCTTTGTATAAGTATTCACACTAATTTTGAGCTTGTCTTACACACTTATTTGTACATGAAGTTTAACTGTATACATATATTTCTTCCAAAAATCCAGTAACCACGAACAAAATCCTGGTGGTTGGTGAGGATCTTTGCAAAGCTCTAACTAAAATGTGGTTTCTCTTTGTGCGTCCTATGCCTCCTGCCTTCTTTGTAGAAACCATGATTCAACTACCATTTAGCCACCATATTGTGGAAGTCATGATAAGAATTTCATATAGTCATGCACTCATGCAAAATGTGTCACAATAAGCCACAGTAATAACAAAGTATCTTTCCTGTTTTTAAAGGAAGAGACTGTTATTTCACTATGAATTCCAATGAAGTTTCTCAACTTCCAGTAGTCCAGTAGTCATACAAAATGATAGAGGAGAAAAAACATCCTCAAAGACTTGTTATAACTAACCAGTATTCTAAGTACAGAGCTCAAAGCCTTTGTATGACTGATATACTATTATCGTTTTTGTTAATATTTTGAATTAGATTTTATTTTTATATTTTCTGTTTTTCTGTTAACTTTAGTTAAAGGAGTGGTTGATTGCGATTTCACTTTTTTAACGTTAGTTAGGGTGTAATGTTGCTGTTTGAGCATAAACAATATCTGCAAAGTTACGAAGCTGAAAGTTCAATGCAAACGGAGATATCCTTTTAAAATTCTGGCAGTTTAATGCCTACAAAAACGGCTGGTAGGGACTACAACGAGCTACTTCCCGGGTTCGTGACATCACAAACCCCGCCCTCGGGAAAAGGCAGCAAAGGGGGC